TTAAGGAAAAACTATTTCTGCTGATGAGAGAATGAATTTACCATAAAGTCCTATACATGAAAGTACAAAATACCATGTTTTAATAATTCCAGTAGATTGGTGGCACTTTGCCCAGAATGAGTTGGATCAAAACCCAAACATAGTTAAAGCCCAATGATCCTTTACCAAACTTCTGTGTCTGCCATTTTGTAAAGTAGGGTATTTAATAGTTTCCATCTGTTGGCACTTGTTCTTTTTTTGTTTTATAACTTTCCCTAAAAAAATAATTTATACAGCTCTAAACTTTTCATATTGGATCATTTCTATATGAAATTAAGGAATCTCTTTTTGGTAGCCAGTAAGTCTTCCTGCAGAGGTCACCATCCCCTCGTTGAATGCTGAAATGAGACCGTAAAGCTATGTAAGCTGTCTTTAGGTTTTAAATTGTGTTTTTAAATGTGATATGAATAGACTTTTAAATGTCGTGAGGGGAGTTGCATTGTTCTTACCTAGCAGTCTCATTCTGTTTTAATTTCTTGTCTAGTTAACTGCAATCAAAAGGGGAGAAATTTGTGGAGGAACCACTGTTTTAATGCACTGATGTTAGTAATGGTGATTTTTTGTTTTGTTTTCAGAGTCAGTAAACATCATCAACCATTTAGTAAATATGTTTTAAAATATGTATTGTATTTTGTGTCATGTTTTGCATTAAATATTTTTTTCTTAAGATGTAATTACTAGAAGATTTATGTGGTGTTGCTTGGATCCTTAACTCAGTTTTTTGTTTTTCTTCATTAAATCAATGAAGATGGGCATGGGGATGAGGGGCTCAGTATGCAGGCTGCCCTGTGAAGAGAGGGCAGCCCCACCCCTTTTTCCATGCAGCAGCTTGGGACCAGTTGAGAAGCATTTGTTCATAGCCGCTACGACTGCAGTGGGCACAGCCAGGTGAGAAGTGCATGTCCCTTGGCAAGTGGATAGACACACACACAGACAAGCAGACATAAACTCTCTGAAATGTACAATAAATAGCTGTCCCTTTCTGCACCTTTGCCCCCTGCTGCTCCAATGGGGTTATTTCTGCCCCGTGTTCATTCTGCAGTATAACTCCCTCCTACCAGACCCCTCCCTTTTCATTTTATGCGAAACAATCTAATTCTACATGTCTCAATACCCTGTCACAAGCCTGGCCTGACAGGAAGTAGCTGCATACCAAATTTGGTGGTCTTAGCTCTTACTGTTTAGTAGGAGTTCTTGAACAAAAGGACAGACTGACATGCATGTTTCTGAAATTATATAAAACTAGACTAGCAGACTTAACCTATACTAGCAGGCTTACCCAGCATCATTCAGGGCAGGGGGCTTGTGGTGTGGGGATGCAGGAGTCAGGGCAAGGGGTAGGGTAAACTCAGTGCAGGAGGATCAGGGCAGGGGTCTTGGAGGTATAGGACATGTACTAGGGCTGCCTGTGGCAGTGACGACACTGATGCAGTTGCCAGCTCCCCCATCTCTGGGGCAGGAGCAGGAGTGGCACAGTCCCAGCCTGTGGTGGACTCCTCTGGGGTGGCAGGTCTGCTAGCTGCCAGGGCTCCATCCCAGTCTAGTACTGTGGCTGAGGGATATGGGGGGGGGGGAGAGTAGATGTTTGGGAAGAGGTGCCACTTACCTAGGCCAGTGGCCAGCAACATGAGGAGTCCTGGCCCTAGCTGGCCACTGTCTTAGTGGTGCGGCTGCCCCCCTGGGGTACTACTATACAACTGTCCCATGTTCACTCTACTCCGTGTTCACTCTGTAGTATAACTTCTGTTGATCAGCCCCCTGCCTTTCTGTGTTATGGAAAATAATCTCATTCCAGGCACAAGGGAAACTCTGTCCTTGCTTTAAGTTAGGATAAGAGGAAGCTGCATACCAAATTTTGTGGTGTTTAACTCTATTTAGGAGGAGTTCTTGAACAGACAAGCAGATGAGCGGACGGACAGACTCAGACAGGCACACAAACTCAAATACATATATGGAGGATACAGTTGGCTTTTGAATCCAAATGTTCTAATGTCGGAGGATTTTTGTTGGAGTGGTGTTGACATTTCCGGTCAGTTTTGAGAGACTCTCATACTGTGTGACTAGACTAATGTTGTAAAAATCTAACTTTAGACTGAAACACACAAATGTGTAGAAAGAAGAACTTTGTTGCACTTACTAAATTTGTTGGCTTTCAGTATCCTGTAGCCGTTATGCATAGGTTGACAATATGTAATATTCTTACAGCCATTTACTGAGGTAAATATATGCCAAGTTCTTGAACAGTATACATTCACTAATATATTTTTTAAATAATGTGTTACTGAGTCCAGATTTCCCACAAATGGAAAATGTGTCTGCTTTGATAGAGGCACAAAGACAATTTTCATAAAGTGCAGTGACTGGTCTTTTTCTCCATAGAATTACTAATTCCATATATTTTTTTCCAGATTTGGCCAGGGCTGCAGAGGCAAAAGGAAAGACATTCTAAGATCTTAGCTTCAGATACTGAGTTAATTTAAAGCCAGAGTCAGAGTTTGGAAAAGATTCAGTTCAGATTTAAACAAACTTGCATCAGGTATGGGGAAAATTTTCTTGCCAAATCTACACCAGACACTAGTAATTTATTTTAACCAAGGTTTCAGCTGCCAAGATTTAATATTTTTGTGTAATCATGAACTTAATTATTTTGATACCCGTTCTCCATGGCATGAACAGGTTCAAGTTATAATTGATATTTTTCATACACATCACATATCAGAATTCTGGGTGAGATTGTATGCAACCAGTTCCAGAATGAAATACAAAATCACCACAAGCCACGTAGGAATTCAAAAAAGAAAGTTTTAGCAACTTATAAGAACAGTTTTAAATGCTGTGAATGTACAGAATGTTTTAGGGCTTTGGTAATAATTATGGACAGCACTGGAAGCTGAATTTATTAGTACATAGAAACAGAAGTAGCACGAACAGCGGCAGATGAAATTTGCCTTCACTGTGCTGTTGGTCCCTCTAGGTCAGAGTTAAGGCACAATCTCTTCAATGCAAGGAGGATTCAGTCTCTGTCTCCATTCAGTCCTCGGTGTCAGCTTAGACAATTGGAGCCCTGCTGGATTTTTTTATATTTAAAAATTAGGTATATGTAAGTGATGCTTTTCAGGGCAGAGGTCATGTATTCAGGTGAGTGTAAATTATATAGTATAGTAGGGTGTAGATTCTGGTTGAGACTATGGAGTCAATTTTAGTTACAGATATTAAACAATAGAATTAATATACCCTTTCGTGGTGGAAAAAGCAGTCTGATATGTCACAGCCATGTGTTAATGGAATTGGGGAAGTAAGTGAAAAAAGCCTTGACTGCTTAAAGGTGGGGGGGGAAATTGTGTATTAAATATTGGCTTTCAGAGACTGCAGAAAGTGTTTTTCTTTTAGTGTTTTCAAGGATTTCAAGCAGGCTGGTCCTGGAGCCCTAGTCCAAGATTTTCAGATTATATTTACCCACCTAAGAACACTGATAATTAAATATTTTGACTATTCATAACCTTCCTTGATTTCATGGGGAGCAGTTGAATGCACTTGGTAAAATAGGTAAGATATCAGACTCTAATTTTAGTTTCCTGTTTCTAAAAATTTCATCTTCATCAACTAGTGTTTTATTTTTTCCCCAATAAACTGTAAGTAAATTTTAAGCTTGAGTGTCACAGCTGAGGGTAAAAGCCTGACTGACTCTGAGTGTTGCTCACGCTTGCTCCTCTAGTCTGGTATGCATTCCTTCCAAAACAAACCTCAGAAAGGAACTAACAGTTGCACCATACTGCACAATGAAATTATACTGAAGGACAAAAAGGAACGATGGGAATTAGGCAGTTATGGCTTTAAAAAAATGTAAGATTTATATCAAGATCTGCTTGTCAGTTATTGATGGTTTGATTTTTAAATTAATCTTTTGCATTATTGAACCTGTTCCTGGCATGGACTTAGTGTAGGTTCATAGGTCACCATATTGTCGTCTTTGCCATGATTAGAATCACTTGAAACTTCTGAAATGGAACCTACTGTTGCAAGGGTTTCTGTTAGTTCTTAAGTGTTTTATATGGTTTTGTTTGTTTAGCTACTGCTTGAAAGAGTGACCCAGAATGGAGATGTTGATTTATGTAGTATTTAATACATCAACAGGGCCTAAGAATAAAATTGTCATATAGAATTTGTTTGTTTGCTTTTTTCAAGTAGGGTGCTGTTTCCAATATTAATAGGTAATATTTTAATTGCTGTCCAAAATAATTTTAGATAATTTCAGAAATGTATGTTACATTATTTTAACGGTGATCACCATAGTTACATTTTTAATTATGTGGGTTTTGACTTCTCTTATTAATACTAAGCTATTGTATATTGCAGTTTCTTGTATTCAGCACATTCACTTTGGGAATAGAGTTTGCTTTTTTTAAATTGCACATGGAATAACTCTTCTTTATTCTCCCTTTGTTTAAGCAGATATAATAAATTGTATGTAAAAAGTGATTACATACGAATGAATTGGCTCTGTTCTTTTCCTCCATACAGAATTAAGGCCTTTTAAAAATAACAGAAGAAAACTGCACACTACAGTTGTTAAATGCAGACTTACTCCATATACATTTTCCTAATCATGCCTAGATTACGAATAGGATCTTTGAAGAAACAATATGGTCAAGTAGTTAAAGCACAGCTGGCAATCAGGACTTCTGGCTTCTTTTCCCAGCTGTGCTTCTGACTCACTATGTGACCTTGTGTAAGTCTCTGTGAGCCTCATTTTTTTTTAATCTTTAAAATATTGATATTGATCTACCTCATAGCAATGTTGAGAGGATTAGTTGGTTAATGTTTAGGTATTGTTTTGTAGATCTAAAGTGTTTTGCTAAATATTTTAAGAGGTAAAAAGAAAGCCGTGCTTTTGGGTTCTTAAATGCAGC